ATCAATCACCCAATGTACACAAAACCATGCGGCTTCCAGCAGGACCCTTCTTTCTACATACTTGATCTATTTCAGCTGCTTCCTTATGTAACACATCAGAGATTAAGATGTCTCAGTCAAAATGTGTTTATTCTACTCTCATTGATGGAAAAAAGAGATTCTTATAGAAATCTTTAAAGATCTTTCCCATTTTTTGTCTTCCTTTCAGTTCTATTTAAACACCACTGGTTTGATCTCGTTTAGTTGGCTCTTTTGCTTTCTGTCATGTTTTTGCCTTTGCTGGTCTTCTACGAGGTGATATTGCTCAAAATCTTCCATCATTCTTCCCCATAGCATTTAAAAAATGAATTTATGCTTTTGGCTTTCAGAGTGGCATCATGGCGGTGGGCAAGGACAAGCACCTCACCTAAGGCAGCAAAAAAGGAGCTAAGGAGAAAGTGGTTGATCCATTTCCAAAGAAGGAGCTTTGTTCAGCATTCACAATATTGGCAAGACACTGTTACAAGGACCCGACGAACAAAAATTGCCTCTGATGGTCTCAAGGCTGGAGTTTTTGAAGTGAGCCTTGCCGATCTGCAGAATGATGAAGTTGTTTTTGGTAAATTCAAGTTTATTACTGAAGATGTTCAGGGTAAAAATTGTTTGACTAACTTCCATGGAACGGACCTTACCCGACACAAGATGTGTTCCGTGGTCGAAAAGTGGCAGACCATGATTGAAGCCCGTGTTGATGTCAAAACTACCGATGGGTCCTTGCTCCGCCTCTTTTGTGTTGGTTTTACCAAAAAGGGCAGCAACCAGATCCGCAAGACCTCTCACGTCCAGCACCCAAAGGTCCGTCAAATTCACAAGAAAAGGATGGCGCTCATGACCCGAGAGGCGTAGACGAATGGCTTGAAAGGAGTTGTCAATAAACTAATTCCAGACAGCATTGGAAAAGACATAGAAAAGACTTGCCCATTTGCCCTCTCCATGATTTATTTGTCCGAAAAGTCAAGATGTTCAAGAAGCCCAAATCTGAATTGGGAAAGCTAATGGAACTGCATGGTGAAGGTGGTGGCTCTGGAAAATCTTCAGGAGATGAAACAGGCACAAAAGTAGATTTGTCTAAGAACTTTTAAAGACTGAAAAATAAAAATTTATCATTGTGAAAAAAATGAATTTATATTCTAAATTAGTGTTGTCTTTGGCTAAGATATCTCTTGGCTTGGCAAGGAGATCAAATGTTTGTTGGTTGAGGTAGTTTCCAGGCTTTTTTGCTCCTATCATGGTGATTAACTTACATTGGTTAAACTTCCTTAACAAATAGGGAAAGTCTGTACTGACATCTGAATTTGAATCTATTTTCAAGTTTTCAAGCTCAACAGCTTACTTGAATAGGTCAGCTTTAAGTTGCTTCAATTATGTACCAAATCTTTTCATATTTGTATTCTTTCTTCTAACTTAGTATTGTTCGTGCTCTTTGCCCTCATGATTGTCAGTGGCCTAACAGTACATATTGCTGGTTCATAAATCCTCCCCCACAGCTAGTCTTGTTAAAATGCAATTTAATTTTTGTTTTCTCTTCTTTTTTCTTCAGAGTTTAGTTTTAACTCCTTCCGTTTCTCCAGTGACATGTTCAAGAATAGGCTATTCACAGGTTGCAGGAGCACTGTCTGGTTGGCCAAAGAGCATATCACCTCTCACATGTCAGGCTAAACAAGTGATTGAGCAGGTGACAATCTGATCAGTCTGATTTTGCCCAGAAGCAGAGAAGCCAAGGATGGTTGCAGTGGTCACCAAGTGTCCCTTTTTTATTTTTGCTTTTTGGTGAGGCAATAAGGGTTAAGTGACTTGCCCAGGGTCACACAGCTAGTAAGCATCAAGTGTCTGAGGCCTGATTTGAACTCAGGTCCTCCTGACTCCAAGGCTGGAGCTCTATCCACTGTGCCACCCAGCTGCCTCTGCCAAGTGCACCTTTTAACACGGCATCCAGCACCTCTCTTGTTTCTTACTCCTAAACCTTGTTTTCTAATAATGTTTTTGTCATCCTCCCCATGCCTACCTCTTAATCCCGTGCTATAGATGTTGATGCATTAGCTTCCAATATGTTCATTCTTATCATTAGCACTGCAATACACGATGACCCAGCGTCCCAAGAAATCATGCTTTTGTTGACTCTGGATATATGGCAAAGCCAAGGCTGACATTTCTCCGTTTGCCTTTCCAAGGCAAGTGAGCCATCCTTTCGTCTAGCTATAACGTTCTCCTTCTGGTTTCGTTCATCTAAGGATGGATACAATGCAGTTCTCCGGTGACATATTCGCGCACCACTGGAGAAGTAGCACAGATTTAGAGCGTGTCCCCTTTGGAAACGCTCTGCCGCTGTCACTGAAGAAGCACAAGCGTGCCACCCAGGGCTGAGGGTCAGGCCTCGGGGGTTGCTACCACCAAAGAACTCACCACTAATTGATCAGCCTGCTAGCGATGAGCTTCGTCGTGCTTATCTAGGCTGGCTGACAGTGTCTGCAGCCAAGACCGCAGTCTATCAGATTACTGTGTACAATCGCTGTACATAACTCCTTTAATCCTCCTTTCATTATAACTTCCCTTTCTAATTTTTTTTTTCGTAATTTGGCTTACTCCTCTTTAAAAACTAAAATTAACTGATGCTTATCAAACTTGCTATCCTCTTTAAAGAATTTGACTCTGATTTATTTGATTTTTACTTATACAATTATCAATTTTTTTCTGTTGCATTGTTTTTTTTTGGGTTTTGTTATTTGTCTTTTCATTTATGACTTTGATCTTGGATAAGAACCATTTTATTTCTCAGAGAATCCACTTTTTCATTAGAATCCTCCACTGATTAGTGCAAGCCACTGAAGCTCAGATTTGTAGGGTTTTTCTTCTTTCTTTATTAATTTTAGTTTCATTTTGCTGCAAATGATAGATTTTCCTTTGTTTCTCTTACTGAGTTTATTATCCTCATTGACATGTCTTGCAAGTAGATCCACTTTCACTTCCAGAGTCTATGCTGCTGTTACTGAATCTGGTATCTTCTCTTTGGCTAATTTTAGTCTATAATATTTATTCATTGCATTGGAGTCTTTTTTCTTTTTTTGCTTTCATCATTTCAAACCAACTTCTTCCTTTTCTTTGATGCAATACTTAGGATATAGGACCATTGCTTTAGAGATAAAAAGGATCTTAGCATTCATCTGGTCCAAGGATTTTTAACCTGAGACCCACAGATCAGTGTATACATATTAACATTTTAAAATGAATTTTTAAAACTATTTTTATATTTTGATAACTATATTTCAATATATTTGTTTTCCAATATAATCCTATGCATTTTATTTTATGTACTTAGAAATATTACTCTGAGAAGGGTCCTATAGGCTTTACCAAACTGTCAAAGGGGTCTGCAACACGCACACAAAAAGTTAAGAATCCCTGATTTAGTACAATCCGCTGCCTTTTACAAATGAGGAGACTGATATAAACAGCCTATGTAGTTGAATTCCTCTCATTTTAAAGAAGAGGAAGCTGAGGCCTAGAAAGGTTAAGTGACTTGTCCATGGTTACACAGGTAGGAAGTGACAGAGTCAAGATTTTAATTCAGATCCTCTGATCCTAAAAACAGTGCTCCTTCTCACGCATGATTACTGCCCAGCTACGACATTATTGAAAGCCATTATTTGAAAGCTTTTTAATTGTCTAGTTTCATTTACTGTAGGTGGCTCAGTGGATGGAGTGCTATCCCAGGAATCAAGAAGAACTGAGTGTAAATCCTGTCTCAGATACTTACTAACTGTGTGACTCTGGGCAGGTCACTTTAAAAAAAAAATCTGTTTACTTCAGTTTCCTCATCTGTAAAATGGGGATAATAATAGCACCTACCTCCCAGGATTATTGTGAGGATCAAATGAGGTAATATTTGTAAAACGCCTTGTAAAACTTAAAGCACTATATAAATGGCGTCATTATTAATTAGTGTTATTATTAATTTTCTGTTATTATTATTATTATCACCATCAACACTGAATTGTCTCATTCTGTGAATTAAGGGGGGCAAGATTGAAAATGGATGAACCTTACCCATTGGAGGAAAAATGGTGGCTCAAACCAATGGAAGACAGAATTTGTGTTTTGGGCAATACCCAAGTATATTCTAGAACATACCCTTCTAGACTGCCATTGTACTGGGAGCAGTGGGGTGGGGGTAGGGAGCAGAGGCATTGGACGCTGGGGAGGGGAGAATAGGCTATTCACAGGTTTCTGGAACACCATCTGGTGGCCAAATAGTTTACTACCTCCCACACCACAAGTTAAATTACTGATTAATCATGTGACAGCCCAATCAATCTGACTTTGCCCACAGCCAGAGAAGCCAAGGATGGCTGCATTGGTCACTAAATGCATCTTTAAATATGGCATCTAGCACCAATGACCACATCCTGTTATACACAGAAGGATTTAAAACTATTAAAACTATAAAGAAAACAGTAGAGAAAACAACAATCCTCATTAGATATTCCTGGAATCATCCTCTCTCTATCCCAGTCATTAACTTTGTTCCTTGCTAAGCTGTTGTCTGTTTTACAAAATCAGTGCTCTATCATAAATAGCTATGGTTGGTTGGTTGTTTTTAATCTTAAAAATGGATTGGGTTCAGCCAAAATCACAACCAGATTAAGGTCACATGACTAATTATTACTCTAAAAAATACATTAAGGCAATCAATTTAAACTATTAAAAAGAATTTACAGCAATATGATCAATTACGTAACATGCAAAAGAAAGTTCACAGCTGACAGCTTTTATATACCTACAATTAGTGAGCCTCACTTTACTCCTTCTTGATTTTTTCCCCTTTGTATAGTTCTTGAAATCAAGACAATTCACACATCAAACCATTTAAAAAAATAACATCTCTAATAATCATTTAAGTGCCTACTTTATGCTAATGACTGTTATTATCATTTTTACTATAATAAAGATGGTAATAAACTCACCCACAATTGGGTTATGCTAGCATGGATAGCTACTTCAAACCTTAGGTAGCTCAGGAACCCCAAGCTGATGTAGAAGACAGTAATAATGGACATTCCCCCACATTAAAGGATGATTGGAAGTGCTCACGGTCCTTCATTCTATTTTCAAATAGTAGAACCTATTTAATGAGGAAAAGATCGGGCAAAGAACAAACAAAAAGTTAAAAGGAAGGAGAGTCTTTCTTTTCATACTTTCTGCTTGTTAGGAATATTGTAGCCTCTGCATCAGTCAGAGGCTAGGACTAGATAAAATAATCTATCAATCAACAAACATTTATGAAGCACAATATGCCAAGTACTGTATTAGGTGCTGGGGACAGAAAGGCAAAAATGAAAGTCTCTGCCCCCAACTCCTATCCCCAAAGAGCTTACATTCTAGATGACCTCTAAGGTCCCATCTACCTCATGGATTCTCTATTATCTCTTCATATTACAGCAAGATTATATCTCATACCCTAATGGCTGATGGCGTGTTGTGCTGAATGTGTCACAGAGTATCAGAATGACCATCCATCCTCCAAGAGTATTGTAAAGAAATCAGAGAGAAAACCTGTGATCCCAAGGCCAAAGTATTTGGAGGAAAAACACTTAATTTTTAGTTACAGTATAAAGTTGCCAGTGTAAACACTAAGGAGCATTCCCCATCGAGGCGACCCAGCCTGTCTAGTCACTGTGTCAAATAGATATTTCGGGAGTGAGCTACAGAAGAGCTGGAATCTAAGGGCTTCCAAATCAATATAGACTTTATGTACAGAAGTAGAAAAGAACAACTACAGTTATCCCTTCCACAACATGACTTTCTCCATCATGGTTTCAATATATGGTTGGTTGGCATAAGAAATTAAATGGGAATCTTTGGGGAGTTTTGCAGAAGCCACAGACAACATGCAAAAGCCAGCAGATGTTCGGAAACTCGAAATGCATAAAATATATGTATGTTATTTTATAATGTCAACATATTTCATCTTTCAATACAATAATAATTCAGACCTTCTCTGACACGAAGGCAGAACCAAAAATTTTTACACAGATTTTCCAGATCATGGGGCCGCTGTGCCCCATAACCTCCTTGATGTGGAAGGAATGACTGTAATCACCATTTGTTATCGTTAGGGCTACAGGTGTGTTGTGTTCTAGCTAATTACCAGAAAGACCAGGCCAAGAGATATGTCAGCAGGTATAGCTAGCCTTGGGCAGCCAGGTGGTACAGTGAATGGAAAGCACTGGCCTGAAGTCAGGAAGATCTGAGTCCCAATGTGACCTTAGATACTTGCTAGCTATGTGACCCTGGGCAAGTCCCTTAACTTCTGGCTCAATTTCCTCAACTACAATAATAGGATACACTTCCCAGGGTTGTTTGAAGATTAAATGAGATATTTGTAAAGCTCTTAACACAGTGCCTGACATATAGTAAGTACTTAATAAATGCTTATTCCCTTCCCTCCCTTTTCCTCTAAAATTCCCTGAAATTCAGAACTCCTGGCTCCTCTGCAGAAAGACATCCAATTCAAATTTTACCACGCCAATACCTTCAAGTGCAAAGATAGCAGTTAAGAAGAGTATGCCTTTCAGTTTGTCACCAGAAACAGGCTAGCAGGAGCCAGTATTCCCTAAAAGAGAAAAACACATATAACTTGGGATTTGAAAACTGGCTTCTGGTCCTTTTTAACCATGAAGACTTGACACACCAAAAAGGGCAAAATCAAAGTAATCTTCATTCAACAAAAATTCATGAGATGCTTATTGAATGCAAGGCCATGACGACCGAAACATATATTTAAATGTCAAATTCCCTTTCCTTAAGAGCTTACAATTCGGTCTGAGACCTCTGGAGAGAAGAAACAGTGACCAAAACTGATTTCAACATAGCTAGCTCTTGGCTGGTTAAAACATGAATTTTAATCTTGACCTTTCCGAAGTCCCTGCGTCCTTGTTAAGGCAGAGGAAACAAATTTGTTCAAAAGGCAAAAACTGTGAGTGCTGCAGGGTTGCATTCATAGACAAGGCAACCTGCCAAATCCAGGACAGACTCATTATCAGCGCCTCTCTTTCCAAGTATATCCAAGAGAGACCATCTCTACTTCTCTGGTGACACAGGAGGGTCCTGATCTAAAGCACTCTGCTCACCTGGGCAAAAGAGATATGACACTGCTCTTGGGATCAACACCCAGGTTTTGTGGAATAACGCTGACTTTCACGAACAGGTAAGTGAAGATCGCCTAAATTTGTTTCACTTGACTAAGGCATATGTTACAAGGGTGCTGTTTTTTCTTATTTCTTTTTTCTTTTTCTGTTGTAGAAAGGGAGAGTAGGAAAGAGAGCAAATAAATTTTTGTTAATTGAAAATAAAGAGAAAAAAATAGCTACAATACTAGCTAGCATTTATAGAGAAATTTAAGGTTTACAATGAGCTTTACATATGTAAACTCATTTGATCCTTACAACAAGCCTATGAGGTAGATGCTATCATTATCCCCATTTTGCAGATGAGGAAACTTGAGATAGGTGACTTGCACATGACCACATAGCTATTAAGTGTTTGAAGCAGAATTTCAATTCAGATCTTCCTGGCTCCAAATCCCATGCTTTATCCATCATACAACCTTGCTGCCTACGTGCCTATGAAGACATCTCAGTACTCTGATTGTAGAGGTCCTAGGTCCATTCAGTCGTACTACATATGTTCCTCTAGAGAGGCCACTCTCAGCAATAACTTGACTTGGAAAAATGTGTACATGGGCTAAAAGGCAAGAGTTACCCCAGTTTCCTCAAAATGGGTGTTCAGTAGACATCTTAAACTCAACATGTCCCAAACACAGTTCATTGTCTTTCCCCTTAGACTCTCCTTTACCCTCCTACGTTCCTTATTACTGTAGAGGACAACATCATCCTCTCAGACCCTCAGTCTCACAACCTAGAAGTCATCTTCGACTCCTTGCTATCTCTCGAACCCCTCCCATATCTAATTGGTTGCCAAGGTCTGTCAATTTCACTTTTGCAACATCTCTCAAGTACCCCATCCCCCTTCTCTCCTCTGACACTGCCACCACTCTCGTACAGACCCTTATCACGTAATGGTTGGATGACAGAAATGGTTTGCTGGTGGGTCTACTTGTCTCAACTCTCTCCCCCTTTCAGTTTATCCTCCATCCCTAAGTGATTTTCCTAAGGTGCAAATCTATGTCACCCTGCTCCTCAAATGCAAAATCCACTGTTTGGTCCTTCATAACTCAGCTCCCTCCTACCTCTCCAATCTTCTTCTTTACCACATACTCCTTGAGTGGTTACACTGGCTTCTTCACTGTTCTGAGAATAAGCCACTCCATCTCTGCCCTAGGCATTTTCTCTGGCTGTCCCCTATGCCTAGAATGTTATGCCTCCTCATCTCTGCTGATTGGTTTCCCTGGCTTCCTTTAAGTCCCAACTAAATCTGATCTTCTACAGGAACCCTTTCCCAACCCTTCTTAATTTTAGTCCTTTCCCTCTCTTAATTATTCCCTATTCATCCTGTATATAGCTTGGTTGTACATATTTCTTTACTTGTCTCCTCAGTTTGATTATGAGCTCTCTGAGGGAAGGGATTGTCTTTCGCTTCTTTTTGTATTTCCAGCACTTAGCACAGTGCCTGGTACATAGGAGGTGCTTAATAAATGTTTACTGACTGAATTATTGTCACAAAAGCAACCTTCCCATTTGTATGGGATCGGGGCCCAGACCTGGATGATGTACTGGTAGACTGTAAACATCTGACATTGACAAAAACAGAGAAGATGGTCAGGCTTTTGAGACTGCAGATGAACACCAGAAGTACCAGGAAGGACAGGAAGGTGAGTATGTACACCCATAACTTTGTGATGGGCATCAGGGCCACCTTCTTGCTACCTTGGCAGCTGTCTATTTCGGTTGCTCTCTCACCTAAACCAAGAGCACCTGGGTGACCAAAACGGAATCAAAAGAATGCATTCCAGTGGTAACACGTGTGACGGGGTTAGATCAGACTTTCTGTGAATCTGCTCTATAATATAGGTCTTTAGGTGTCTGGGTAGGATTCAATGGAATCCTGCCTACCCCAGGTAGAGAGTGGCTTATATAAGAGCTTCTTAAACAGGGTACCATGGATAGATTCCAGTCCATCCATAAACTTGGAGAGGGAAAAAAAATTATACTGTTATGATCGCTAACCTTTAACTTATATTTAGCATTTCCTTCAATTACTTACAAACATTATTTTGAGAAGGCTTCACCAGATCGCCACAGGGGTCCATGACACAACAAAGCTTAAGAACTCCTGGACCGGACAACTTGAGGATCATTAAACTCCAGGATCTGCTGTCTCAATCGTCACTAATACGTCTCTAAGATTGGACAAGCACCAGGATCAAACAAAAGCTAGGGTGTAAATGCTTAACTAGGAGGCCTTTCACCACTGCTGGTTAATTTGAAAGAGAGAATCAAAGGCAGTCCATTTATCTCACTCCTGAAGGGCCTTCCTCACCTGTTTAACATTGCCAGCCAGAAACATAAATCCTAGCTAGTCAACAATTAAGAAGCCCACTAGGTACCTGGGAGGCAGAGAAGAAAAGAGGAATCATTCATTTTAAAAGAAGAGGAGAGGAAGCTTATCATTTAAATCTTTCTGTATTTACAAAATACCTTCTCTATACTGTTGTGGCAAAAATACTTTTCCAGGTACTTTGACCACACCTCCTTCCTTCCTTGCCGGAGTGGGGGGCTCTAGGTGTGAAATACTGCATTTGCAGACTTGGTTAATGTTTTGATTAATATTCCTGAATTGTCTTTTCCCTTTCTCTATTTTATCCTTTATTACAAGGGATGACTATGTGCAGAGTGGAAATGGGAGTGATAAATTCAGAAATGAAAGTTTTGTTTAAAAAATTTCAATAAAAATTTCAATTAAAAAATTAAATTTTTAAGAAGTTCTTCATAAAAGGAAAAACACCAAATAATTTGAAATTTTGATTTTAAGAAGTGCTTAAAATGGGGGGCAGCTAGGTGGCACAGTGGATAGAGCTCTGGTCTTGGAGTCAGGAGGACCTGAGTTCAAATCTGGCCTCACACACTTGACACTTACTAGCTGTGTAACCCTGGGCAAGTCACTTAACCCCTATTGACTCACAAAAAAAAAGGAAAAGAAAAAAGAAATGCCTAAAATATCCATACCATTTGTCCCAGAGATTCTACTCTTGAGCCAATACCCCCAAAGTGGTCAAATATGTAATGATCCCACATGTACCAAAATAATAATGCAGCAATTTTTGTGGTAGCAATGAACTGGAAACAAAATAAGTACCCAGCAATTAAGGAATGGTTAGATAAACTGTCAAATATGATGATAATGGAAAATTACTGTGCCTTAAAAATTCTTTTTTTAAAAGAATTAATTTTTTAATTTATAGAATAAAACAAGAATTTCCATAACATAGTATAATAAAAAGATGATTACACATGAAGCTACAAATCACCTATGCACAACTTGCTATTCCTTTCAAATACGCAACAAAATTATCATGTAAACTTTTTTCCCTTTTTTTCTTCCCTCTTCACCCCCCTCGAGATGGCCACCATTAGACACAAATAGGTGTGTGTGTGTATTCTATACATATTTCTATTTATCAGTACCTTAAAAATTCTAAGAAGCAAGAGGAATCCCATATGAATTAATGTGGGCTCATAGAACACTAGCTAGGTCTTGATTAGTGCAAATAAGAGGTTTCCCCTAAAGTTCCTACTGTATTCAGATCCACACTGCATATTTCCATTGGGCTGGAACCAATTACCATAGTTTACATAATTAAAACTTCTAATAGTGAAAATCTGAATACATTTGACCACTTCAAAGGGATTCATTATTTGTACTAATTGGGATCTAGTGGTAAGCAGAACTCGAAAAAACAAAATAGATAATGACTATAATAGTGTAAATAAAATAACAATATAATGAAACAGAACACTGGGTAATTGTAAAGACTAAACTTTGCCCTGAGGAAGAGTTAAGAAAATGGCTTTTTCTCATTGAATCTGTGAAGGTGGATGGATATGGAACATTGTGTGTAGCAATAGTCAGCTGCAGTTGAGTTGGCTTAGTTGTGCCTAATTTTTTAAAATCTTTGTTAAAGGGAAAATGTAGAAAGGTGCTGGTTTTGGAATCCTAGGACCTGGATTCAATCCTGCCTCTGCTACTTTGTGTACCTCTGTGACTTTGGACAAGTCTTTTAATTTCTCTGTGCCTCAGTTTCCACAATTGTAAAATGAGGGAGTCAGCTCAGATGATCTATAATCCTATGAAGACTCCACATTGGGGGTGGAAAAGGCATTTAATTGGAAACAAACGTGATGTCAAAACAAAGGCCATGAATAAAAGCATTTTTTAAAATGAAAAGCTATATAAGTAAGGCATGAGTAGTACTATTGCCAAGATGCTAATGATATTTCTCAACAATCCACCTCACTTTTATAAATATTTATTAAATGCCTATTACCCTGCAGAACACCGTGCTGCATGATAGAGGAGAGAGGAAATTTAGATGACACTTTGCTACTGCTCTCAGAGATCTTCAAGTCTGATAGGAACAGGACATACATACAAACAATCACACTGGAAAATGATAAAAATTAGGTACATAAGAGAAGTTCAGATCAAATGCTATATAAAATCTGAGTGAAAGGCAGGTAATTATTTGCTGTTGGTAGGTTAGAAGAAGAGGATCAGAGATCAAGGAAGATTCTTAGAGAAAGTAACATTTGAATTTGCCTTGTGTAGGAATTGGGGACTAGGTGGAGGTTTCACATAAAGGGAACGGTGTGAGGAAAGGCAAGGAGAAGGGTGTATGGTGAGTAGGAGATTAGGGGATGGTGAGCAGGGGATTAGGGGATGGTGAGTAGACCAGTTTTCAATTTGGCTGAAGTGTAGGGTACCCAAGAGGGAATAATAAAGATAAAAAGGTAGTGCAGTACCAGGTTTTGGAGGACCTTGAATGTCAAATCAGAGGTTGAACTTTATTTGGTAGGCAACAAAGAGTCACTGAAGGGTTTTGAAGCAGGAAGGATGGGTGGGTGGTGGTGGTGGTGATATAACCTTTGCATGATTATGAAGGATAGATTGAAGGGAGACATAGTATGAGGGTGGAGATAAGATCTGATTGGAGGACATTATAATAATCCAGGTGGAAGGTAATGAGGATATGTTGTAGGGAGATGGCAGTGGGATTAGAGAGGAGGGATTGGTTCAAAAGATGTTTTAAAAAGAGGATAATAGATTTGCTCATATTTGTATTACATGTTATAGTTTACAAAGCACAATCCTTTTAAATAATTCTATTCATTCATTCAATAAACATGTCCTAAGTAATCTCCATATACATATATTATATATAGTATATATATTATTGTGTATATATAGTGTGTGTATATATATATGTATATATATATATATATACACACACACACACACACACACAACACACACACAACACAAACACATACATACACACCCTCAGGGCATTTTTTGTCATTTCTTAATTAGCTTAATGAGTGCCTGGCTTACTGTCTTTGCTCTCCTAGAAGGGGAGAGGGAGAGGGACAAGGAAAGGAAGAGGGAGAGGGAGGGAGAGAGAGAGAGAGAGAGAGAGAGGAGGGAGAGAGAGAGAGAGAGAGAGAGAGAGAGAGAGAGGAGAGAGAGAGAGAGAGAGAGAGAGAGAGAGAGAGAGAGAGAGAGAGGGAGATTCCCTCAAATACCCTGAATTCCTAGTTCCTCAATATATCCTGTTTCTATTCCACTCTCCTCTTTCCCATCCTTACAACAGGGATTACAACCTTGTTCTTGCTATTCCCCACCAATGCTCCACTGTCATGTTCATGAACTCTGAAATTTCTTTATCTGATCATAATCTCTTATCATTCCATTTTCCCCTGTGCCTTACAACTTTTAACCCATTATTTATCCTCCCTATGACTTCTTTTCTCTCCATTCCTCAATTCTTTATGGAGGCTAAGGACATCGCACTGACTACATTCTCTTCCCTTTCCTATCTTTACCCTTTGGTGAACCAATTCGCCTCTACACTATCACCTGCTTTCAAATTCCTTGCCCCTTCGCCCAGTCTGTTGAGGGGTGTGCTAGGGCTAGTCCGTACTGGCTCCATCCAACACAGTTCACTGTCACATTTTCAGTAGGAACAGGGAAATCTGCAAACACTACAGATTAGGACTTGATCTATTGTTGATCATCTTGACTTTAGAAAGGGATGGAGAAATATTAATGATGTAGATAAACTTTAGAGTATGTCCTACCTGTTGTTAAACATGCACCAATAAATCCTTGAATATGCTGATCATAGCTCTCCATTCCACCAAATGCCTCCTTTGCATCTATTCATGTACAGATCTGAAGGAAATCACAAAATCATGCTGATTTGGTTTACTACAAATACATGTTATCTAATCTCAACTGGGCCCTCACTGCAGCAAGGCAATTACTCTACTCTCTAATCAATTCACTATCTCACTCTCCACTGTGGCCATTTCCAGCCTTTTTCTCTCTCCTCAATAGCATCCCCTCTGCCCTCCCCACGCCTTCTTCGCTGGAGAACCACACTGCATACATACTTTACCAAAAATGCTGAGGCTGTTCTGTCTCTCTCCTCACTTCCTGCATAGCACTCCGGTATCTTTACTCTTTCCTTCACTTTGGTCTCAGAAGAAGTAGACTTGCTCTTTGCCAAAGCCACCCCTCTGCATGCACCCTAGACCCCATCCCTCCTGCCTTCTCCAGGAGGTTGCCCCCACTCTCATTGCCACTCTCTCATCTTCAGTCTCTTCCTATCTACTGGCTCTTTCCCTGAAAACTATAGTCATGTGCCCATTGCTCCCCCATTCCTTAAAAGGCCCTCACGTGATCCTTTCATCCCTGCTGGCTGTTTTCCTATGTCTCCTTCCCTTCTCAGCTAATCTCCTTGAGAAAGCCATTTCTCCTAATTCCTTCTGCTTCCTTTACTCTTACTGAGCTGCTAAACCCTCTATAACTGGCGTTGAAACCTCAACATTTAACTGCTCTTTCCAAAGTCACCAGTGATCTCTTAGCTATCATCTCATTAGGTCTTTTTTCAATCCTTATCTTTTTTTTTTTTGCCTCTTTGCAGGATTTGACATTCTTGATCACTTTCTCCTGGATAGTCTCTCATCTCTAGGTTTTTGTGAAACTGCTTACTCTTATTTGTCTAACTGCTCCTCCTCTGTCTCCTTTGCTGATTTTTTTCATCCAGTGCACAGGATGTCCCTAAGGGCCCTATCATAGGTCCTCTTCTCTTTTCCTGGATACTATCTCACTTAATGCTTTCATCAGTTTCCATGGGCAGCATTATCATGTTTATGCAGATGATTCTCAGTTCTATGACATCCAGCCCTAATCTTTCCCCTGATCTATAGTTCTGCATTACCAACTGTCTTCTGGACATCTCAAATCAGATGTCCTGTTGACTTTTCTAATTCAGTATATACAAAATAGAACTTTTATTTTTTTTAAATTTATGGAATAAAACAAGCATTTCCATAACAGTACAATAAAAAAGATGATTGCAATAAAACTTACAAATCTACTATGCACAACTTGCTATTCCTTTCAAATATACAACAAAATTATCATGTAAATTTCTTTCTTTCTTTCCCCCACTCAGCCCTAGAGAAAGCTACTACTAGATACAAATAGGTAAAATATGTGTAAAATTATTCTATACACACTTTTATTTATCAATCCTTTCTCTGGATGCAGATAGCATCGTTCTTCATATGTCCTTTATAGTTAATTTGGGTATTTATAATAGTCAAAATAACTTATTCATTCAAAGTTGTTCTTAAAACAATATTGCTGTTACTGTATACAATGTTCTCTTGGTTCTGCTCATTTTGCTCTTTATTATTTTGTGCAAGTTTTTCCATGTTTTTCTAAGATCATTTATAGCACAGGAGTATTCCATCACAATCATGTACCACAACGTGTTCAGCCGTTCCACAACTGATGCGCATCCCCACAATTTCCAGTTCTTTACCACCACAAGAAAGCTCCTATAAACATTTTAGAACATACGGGTTCTTTTCCTTTCTCCCTAATTAACTTCTGAAATAGACCAAGTAGTATTGCTTGTCCCAAGGTATTGCTGGGACAAAGGATATAGGTAGTTTAATAACTCTTTGGGCATAATTCCAGATTGCTCTCCAAAATGGTTGGATCAATTTACAATTCTACCAACAATGAATTAGTGTTCCAATTTTTCTACATCCCCTCCAACATTATTTTCCCCTTCTATCATTTTAGACAATCTGGTAGGTGTAAAATGGTATCTCAAGGTTGTTTTAATTTGCATTTCTCTAATCAATAATGATTTAGACCATTTTTTTTCTTATGATTAGAAACTGTTTTGATTTCTTCATTAGAAAACTGCTTGTTCATATTCTTTGACCATTTATAAGTCGGGGAATGACTCATATTCTTATAGATTTGACAAAGTTCTTTACATATTTTAGATACGTGATCTTCATCTGATAAATTGTCTATAAAAATTTCCCCTCAATTTTCTGCGTTCCTTCTGATCTTGGCCATATTTGTTTTATTTATACAAAGACCTTTTAATTTAATGTAACCAAAATTATCCATTTTACACCTAACTTTGTTCTCTATCTCTTGTTTATTCATAAATTGTTCATCTATCCATAAGTCTGATCAATAACATGCTATATATTCTTCTAATTTTCTTGTAAAATCTTTCTTTATATCTAGGTCCTGTATCCATTTTGAACTTATCGTGCTAAATGGTGTAAGATAATAGGTCTATGCCCAATTTCTGCCATACTGATTTCCAGTTTTCCCAACAATTTTTACCAAATAATGAATTCTTATCCCCAAATCTTATGTTTTTACACTTGTCAAATATAAGGTAATTATATTTATTTGCTTCAGCAATTTGTATTCCATTGTTTTACCTTTCTATTTCTTAGCCAATAGCAGATAGTTTTCATAATTTCTGCCTTATAATAGTTTAACATCTGATACTGCTAAATATCCTTTCTTTATGTTTTTTTCATTAGTTCCTTTGATATTCTTGACTTTTTGTTTTTCCAAATGAATTTTGTTATTATTTTTTCTAATTCAATAAAAAATTGGTAACTTCATTTGGATGGCATTGAATATATAAATTAGTTTGGGTAAAATTGCCATTTTTGACATAGCTCCTGCCTATCCATGAACAATTAATATTTCTCCTTCTATTCTTTTTCTTCTCTTATAACTATGATTTCCAATGTAATACTGAATAATATTGGTGACAGTGGGCATCCTTGTTTCACGCCTGATCTTACTGGGAAGGCTTCTAGTTTATCCCCATTGCAAATAATGCTTGCTGATGGTTTTAGAAAAATGGGTTTTTTTTTTTATCAATTTAAGGAAAAATCATTTATACCAATATTTTCAAGTGTTTTTAAAAATAAAAATGAGTGTTGAACTTTATCAAATGCTTTTTCTACATCTATTGATATAATCACATGATTTTTAAAACTTTTTGATGTAATCAATTATGTTATGCATTCCTGCATTCCTGGTATAAATTTCATTTGATTATAATGTATAATCTTTGTAATATGTTGTTGTGATCTTTTAGTTAGTATTTTATTTAGGATTTTTGCATTCATGTTCATTAATGAAATTAGCCTATAATTTTCTTTTTCTGTTTTTACTCTTCCTGATTTATGTATCAGTATCATATTTGCTTCATAAAAGGAATTTGGTAGGTGTGATGTGGTACCTCAAAGTTGTTTTGATTTGCATTTCTCTAATCAATAGTGATTTAGAGCATTTTTTTAATATGGCTATAGATAGCTTTAATTTCTTCATCTGAAAACTGCTTGTTCATATCCTTTGACCATCTATCAATTGGGGAATGACTGGTATTCTTATAAATTTGACTCAATTCTCTATATATTTTAGAAATGAGGCCTTTATCAGAGACACTGCTTGTAAAAATTCTTTCCCAGTTTCTGCTTTCTTCCTAATCTTGGTTGCATTGGCTTTGTTTGTGCAAAAACTCTTCAATTTAATGTAATCAAAATCATCCATTTTGCATTTCATAATGTTCTCGATCTCTTGTTTGGTCATAATTCTTCATTCTCCATAAATCTGACAGGTAAACTCTTCCTTGCTCTCCCAATTTGCTTATACTGTCAGTCTTTATATCTAAATCATGTACCCATTTTGATTTTATCTTGGTGTAGGGTGTAAGATTCTGGTCTATGCCTAGTTTCTGCCATACTCTTTTCCAGTTTTCCCAGCAGTTTTTGTTAAATAGTGAGTTCTTATCCCAGAATCTAGGGTCTTGGGTTTATCAAACAGTAAGATGACTATAGTCATTGACTACTGTGTCTTATGTACCCAACCTGTTCCATTGATCGACCGCTCTATTTCTTAGTCAGTACCATGTAGTTTTGACGATTGCTGCTTTATAATGCAATTTAAGATCTGGTATGGCTAGGCCACCTTTCCTTGCATTTCTTTTCATTAATTCCCTTGATATTCTGGACCTTTTGTTATTCCAAATGAATTTTGTTATTATTTTTCTAGCTCTATAAAATAATTTTTGGTAGTTTGATTGGTATGGCACTGAATAAGTAAATTAATTTAGGTAGAATTTTCATTTTTATTATATTAGCTCTTATATATAATATAATAATATGACATATTATATTAGCTATTATATTATAGTATATTTATTATATTACATAATATTATATTATTATATTATTATATTTTATTATATGAGCAACTGATATTTTACCAATTATTTAGGTCTGACTTTATTTGTGTGAAAAGTGTTTTGTAATTGTATTCACGTAGTTCCTGGGTTTGTTTTGGCAGATAGACTCCCAAATATTTTATATTGTCTACAGTAACTTTCAATGGAATTTCTCTTTCTATCTCTTGCTGTTGGGCTTTGTTGGTAATATATAGAAATGCCAATGGTTTATGTGGGTTTATTTTATAGCCTGCAACTTTGCTAAAGTTGTTTATTATTTTAAGTAGTTTTTTACTTGATTCCATAGGATTCTCTAAGTATATCATTATATCATCTGCAGAAAATGATAGCTTTGTTTCTTCTTTGTCTATTCTAATACCTTCAATTTCTTTTTCTTCTGTTATTGCTAAAGTTAACGTTTCCAGTACCATATTGGACAACAGTGGTGATAATGGACATGCTTGTTTCACCCCCTTTTCTATCACTCTGGAAGGTATTACCATCCTCCCTGTCACCCAAGTTTACAACCACAGTGTCATTCTGGACTTCTTGCTCTCATTCACATTCACTGCACATATACAATCCATTGCCCAAATCTTGCTGTTTCTACCTTGACAGTATCTTTTTTATATGTTCCCTTCTCTACACTCACACAGCTGCCACCCTGGGTGCAGGCTCTCATCACCTTATACCTGGACTATTATGCCACATAGCTTTCTGACTGGTCTCTCTACTTTAAGTCTCTCCTCACCCCAATCCATCTTCCCTTCAGCTGTTAAAGTGATTTTCCTTAACTGAAGTCTTAACTTAACCCCTCTATTCAGTAAACCTAGGCTCCATATTACCTATAGAACTAAATATGAAGTCTTTCGTTTGGTATTTAAAGCCCTTCACAGTCCATCCCCTTCATATCTTTCCAATCTTCTTATGGTTCCTTCCATGGTCTCTACAATTCAGCCATTCCTCAATCAGGCCGCTCCATTTCCCAAGTCTGTATCTTCCCACTGGCTACCCCCACGCTTGGAATCTGAAATATTCTCTTTCCTCACTTCTACCTCCAGGCTTCCCTGGCTTCCTTCCAGACTCAGTTCAAATCTCATCTTCTATAGAGGTCTTTCCTGGTCCACCCCTTGGACCCACTAATGCTTTCCCTCTCCCATTTATCCTGTATGTATCTTTTATGTGCATAATGGTGTGCATATTGCTTTCCCCATTCAAATGGGAACTTCTTGAAGGGAGAGATTGTTTTAGCCTTTTTTTCTATCCCCTAGAACTTAGCAGAATGCCTAGCACATAGTAAGTGCTTAATAAATGCTTGTTGACTAATGAACTATCATGCTGATGCAATGAAGGTTTAACACATGTACCAATCTCATCTGCTGGCTCAGATGGAATCTCTCTATGTGGAGGATGCTAGGGACCTACTTCTGGGACAACAATAATTTCATGTAAAGGAAGTGCATGGAGAGACTGTGGAGCATGCATGGACATGCCTGTGTAACGTGTATACTCTGACATAATGTATATGAGAGTCTGCACCTGGTTCTGATTGGCTGGCCACATGGCTGGGAAAAAAGCCTTTTACAAGTGGCTGCACAGCCAGTCTTCAAAAAAGCCTGAGTCAGTTTCAGCTATCTCTTTGACTCACACCACTCTTGTATGACAACTTCCAGTGAGAGACCCTTTCTCTCTGAGGCTACATGGCCCCTGAGAAATGACATCTCCTTCATTTTCAATTGGTCTTTTCTATCATAGGAATCCAGGAGTCAGAATCCAGACCAGATGTTGCAGCTGGACAAGCATCATTGCCTAAATGACTTTTGAGAATGATCTCCAGGACCCATCTTAGCCCCGGGAAAGTCTCATATAACAAGAATGCCAGTTTTGGATATGAACTTAGTGGGACCAATGCAATGCGGAGAGTAAGTTTTCATGAACTTCCCCTGAGAGATGGAGGTGGTGTAGGGGAGAGTATGTCCTGGAGGTATTGGGAAAAATGTTTATACACACTTGCTGTATCTTTAAAGAAAAAATCCCTTTATAAAAACAAATCAACATTAATGGTTAAATGTTACTAGTAATGGATTCCTAGCAATTAGGGTGCAATAAGATCTCCAGAGTCTTTTGGGAAGAGGAATGGTACCTTCCAATGTATGACGAACATTTTCATACCTGGTCATACCTTACATAGGATTATGAACCCTACTGGGGTTCAGAATCCTATTTCTCATCCCTCTCAACCCTCTCATTCCAAAGTTCCAACCAAACGCCATCCTTTCTACTGTGTCCTCTGAAATATCTGTTCCATAGGCAACAAAGTTCCCTTCATCTTAAATCTTTTCCTATCTCATTCCCCCCATCTACTAGCTATCATTGAAACCTGGTTTCCTCCAATGACACAGCCTCCCTGACCACTCTTTTTAAGTATTGGCTGCACCTTCATTCATTCCCCTCAGTTCACTGGGAAGGAGATGGATTACTCCTTGCTCTCCATTGCTACTTCCAGGTTCTCCCCTTTCTTCCATCACTCAGTAAACTTCTCCTTTGAGGGTCATGCTAATCATATCTACTACCCAATCAAAATCCTGTAGCTATTGTCTACAGAACCCTAGGTCACTCCCCTTACTTTCTCAATGACTTTGGTATATGGCTCACAATTTTTTTCTCCTCTCTACCTCCTGCCCTCATACTAAGAGACTTTGGTATACATATTGACCCTCCCTAAAACTCCCTAACCATTCAGTTCCTCAACCTACTCACATCTTGTCTGGCCATCTGAGGGCAGCAGAAGATAGTTGAGGAGTTGCTACTAGATGGCTGTGGCAAAGAGCTAGCAGTTAGGAATACCAAGACCAAGGTGCATGGAGTAGGTCCAGCAAAGGGCCAGACCCAATAGAGCAGAGTAATTCCCTTTTGGGGGCAGCTAGATGGCTCAGTGGATAGAATGCTGAGCCTGGAATCAGGAAGACCTGAATTCAAATGTGGCCTCAGACATTTCCTAGCTGTGTGATCCTGGGCAAGTCACTTAATCTGTTTGCCTTAATCCACAGGAGAAGGAACTGGCAAGCCACTGCCAGCATCTTTCCCAAGAAAACCCCATGGACAGCATGGTCCATGGGGTCATGAAGAGTAGGTCACAACTAAATGACTAAACAGCATTATCAGCAACAAAGTAACTTTGTGAGCATGGCTCAAGAGATCTGGAGCGAAGACGGCCTCCGCCCGGCGTGCCCGCGACGCTGTAATCCTCGTCACTCTGTCTGTCTCCGAATCCTCGGCACTCAGCACGCTGCCGTGCACGCGTAACTCACGCTTCACACTGGTGTGGTTTTCGGTCTTCGTCGCCACGAGCACTCCCTCCATCAGGGCAGATCACAACCCATCCATGGTGTCTCATCTTGTGCAATTCTCATCCACATTCTCCCCAAATCCCCAACAGATCTATCGAGTATACTAGAGGCCTTTAACATTTTTTGTCGAGTACCAAGTGCAACATCTGGATGTTTTCATTTGTTGTGGCTCCTTTTTGCTGTGTGAACTCATTCTATCTTTTGCAGGAGACCTCTAAGGATTCCCCTGACTGCCAGTGCCTTCCTTCTGAGATCACCTTCCTTGACTCAGTGTATCTCGTACGCCCATAGTTATTTACATGGTGTTTCCTCCTTTAGAATATAAGCTCCTTGAGGTCAGAGATCGTGCTTTTGCATTTCCTTGCATTCTCATTGCTTAGCACAATGGCTTGCTACACTGTGCTTAATAAATTCTTGTTGACTGACTAAAAGCTAAAAGAGAACAAGGTGGGGGTGGGGGGAGAGACAGAGACAGAGGCAAAGGCAGACAGAAAGAGAGAAATGGTTAAGTCAACTTGCCTCTTACTGGGAAAAGTTCGTTGCCCCTCACCAAGTACCACTGAAGCAGGTGGCAAACCAGAAGGATATGCCACAGGCAAGAGCGTTTGGCAGACAGCTGGTGAGACTCCTGCCTGCCTAGAGGGGAGCAGAGGAGACAGGCGCCAGCATGAAGACGAGTCAGAGCGGTGACATTATCAGAAAACATGGGTATATCTGCAGTGCTGAGTCTTGAGTGGCTCCTCCACTTACACATGTCAGCCACACATATTTTCTCTCTTTTTTAATCTAGTTGGTTGAATTTCTTTTTTCTTTCTTTCTTTTTTATTAATTTATTTTTAGTTTTCAACATTCACTTCCATAAGCTTTTGAGTTTTAAATTTTCTCCCCCTCCTGCCTCTTTCCCCAAGATGGCATGCAATCTGATATAGGCTCCACATATACATTCCTATTAAACCTATTTTCACATTAGTCATGTTGTAAAGAAGAATTAGAACCAATAGGAGGAACCACAAGAAAGAAGAAACAAAATAAAACAGAAGAAAAAAACATAAAAACAAATAGTATGCTTCGATCTGCATTCCAACTCCATAGTTCTTTTTCTGGATATGGATAGCATTTTCCATCACGAGATTTTTGGAGATGTCTTAGGTTCTTGCATTGCTTAGAAGAGCTAAGTCTATCAAAGTTAATCATTGCACAATATGGCTGTTACTATTTTTTGTTTATTTGTTTGAGACAATTGGGGTTAAGTGACTTGCCCAGGATCACACAGCTAGTAAATATGAAGTGTCTGAGGCTGGATTTGAACTCAGGTCCCCCTGACTCCAAGGCTAGAGCTCTACCCAGTTGCCCCAACCACACATATTTTCTATGTGGTGACCCTACACACATGTGTATCTGGCTACACACGTTTCCTCTGTGTGCCCCACCCATTTTCCAATTCCTTTATGAGTATCCACACTTTCAACTGATTATATGCAGTCTCCTGGGGGCCGGGGAGGGGGGTGGTGGAGATCATGCAGTCCAATTCTCCTATTATTTGTTGAATGAAGGGGTTGAACCAGATGATGTTTAAAGTTCATGTTCTATGGATTAAGGTCACTGATAGCTTTAACATTCTACGTTTTATATTCAAAGGTCCTTTCTAAATCAAGCTTTCCTTCTATAACAAGTAAAGATAATAAATGTTTGTTGTATTAGAAAAGAAACTGGACAAAAAGCTAAAGCCCCAACTAATAGCCAAGAGCACAATGACATTGAGAGCTGATGTGTACAAAAAACTAGGATGATGAAGACACTAAAGGTTCTAGTGACAATGGAATAAGAAAAGCAACTTTTAGAGAGAACTGAAGGGAGTAACAGCAAAACAGATCTTAAAAGACAGAAGGATCTAGTTGAAGTTTCCAAGGCACAAAGGAAGTTCCAGGGAATTGAAACCATGGAGAGCCACAGAAAGAGCAGAATCCTAAGGAGATGCCCTGCGTGGACCACTGCATAGAGTCATACAAGAGCTTAAAAGGACCCCAGATGCCATTTAATCTAGCTCTCTCGTTTTATAAATGGGAAAACTAAGAATGGAAAAGGTGCAGTGATTTGCCTAAAGTCATACAGCTGATTTCTTCATATGTAAAACGAAGAGATAAGATATGCATCTCTCAAGGATTAGGAAAAAGAGAAGGAAGAATGGCTGAACAGGAGACTTATATATTCAAATTTTGGAAAGAAGAACTAAAGGAAGGCCCAAGGAAGCACTTAGTTATACTGGCAAGAGACTTGTGAAAAGTTGTGAAATCCATCAGAGGCGCTCCCTTCTAGTGAATTCTACCTGTTTTATAGTCCTTTTCCTGGAACTTCTGGGTCCTATCCAGTAAGGTGGCATGGTTAGGACTGAAGGTCACAGTGGCCTTGGCCTTTAGCTCTAAGCCCCCAGAGGGATCTTTATTTGGAGTAGCTATGACTGCAGATTCCAGCAATTGGTCTCAAAGTATCAATTAAGTACAGAGTGAATGCCCAGCCTGGAGGCAAACAGGTGTCCAGTCACAGATGGACAATCCCAGCTCATCTGTTTATGCCTCCAAGAGCTCTCTTCATGAACCTAAATAAGGCCTCATTCAACTTTCTTGGCCTGATTCTTACTCTGACTTCCTGAAGACACTCAATGGAAGTGCCTTTTGGTTTCAGGCTCTCCAAGAGCCCTAAAGAAGGGAAGCCAGGACTCCCTCAATCTCCAGGAGTCCCTTACCCATCTCTTCAACAACATTCTAGCTTTACTGAACCTTCTGCATTCTACAGGGACTTTGGCAAGGCTAAATTTAGAGTTTTCACTTCCTGAAACAGGTCAGGCATTTCTAGGCTCAGAATCCATAGGCCAGGGTTTAGGCCCATGCTTAGTGCAAAAACTGAATCCAGCTCCCACATATCAAATCCTAAAATCCTAGAATTAGAAGGGACTCTAGAGGATATCTAGTTTAACCCATGTAGTCTTTGACCCATGTGGGAATTTCTCTATAGCATTCTTGAAAGGAGATGATCAGGGACTGAGCCTTCATGGGGAAGAAGAGGAGACAGAGAAGAAAATGAAACAGGAGCAATTAGTATGAAGAGAGCTAGGATAGTACAGTATTCTATTGAGGTTAGAGAGCAGATGTTTTAAAAAGGAGTGGGAGAAGGAAGGAGGGTTTTTCAAGGTATCAAATACAGAAGAGATGTCATCTCGTATTTGTTTAGAAACTTTCCAAGAACTGGCAACTTACAACCTCATGAGGCAGCCATTACATTTCTGCACAGTTCTAGTTGCTAGAAAGTTCTTTTTAGGAATAGGGCCTGGACCTATGATTTCACTGGTATAGAGAACTCTCTCTACCAATACAGGATAGAACCTTCTCTGCAACTCATAGTTTCTTTAGAGAGTTGCCTAGAACACTGAGAGAAGTTATATGACTTGCTCAGGCTTGTAGAGCCAAGATGTTAAGTCTTAGGACTTGAAGCCAGGTTTTTCTAACTGAAGATGGCTCTCTCTGTTCACTGTGCCTTGCGCCTCTCAAGGTGGGATCACAAGACCTGGTTTCTTATTTATATTGCGTGAAATCTGCCTCCCTGTAATCATCAAAATAGCCCCTTGATTAGTGGTGTATGGGGTGTTCAAGGAGAACTAACATCTGTGGTGTAAGGGCTTGCTGAGCCCTTTTCAGGGCCGCTCATCCACCTTTGGTGTCCACCAGGTACCCAGGTCTCACCTGTGGCTCCAAGAAGCTGTAGTATGTGCAGCAGCCACATCCGGTAAACCATCTTGGCAGACTGGCTAAACCAAGTTGAGGGGAATCAACAGGCCTCATGCCACTGGTGAAGCATGTGAAGACTTTCTCTGGCAGAATGAGCAGATGAGAACGATTTATTCCAATAGTCATGAAGGTGGCTGAAGCAGGCACTGTGTAGAGCTTAGAGCTGGGTCAGATACAGAAGGCAACAAAGTCATCCACTGTCCCCCGGGGCCATCACTAGTTGTCTTGATTTTTGCATTGCCACACTTCGATGACTCTGGAAGAGAGAGGGACACTGATGACTTTGTGCAGCTCTGCCTCACTGAAATCCATTTCACCCATGAGTCAAGACATCACCCACGATGTCACCGGTCCTCTTTGCAAATGAAGGACAACAACAACAACAGCAACTTTATGATTACAATGTGTTTGTAAACCTCTTCATTCCCCACGTCTGTACTTTTAGCAGGGCAAGTAAGTATTACTATTCCCATTTTACAGAAGAAGAAACTGAGAATCAGCGGTAAAGTAGATTACTCGAAGTTACATACAGCTAACAGGTCTTGGAGTCAGGACTTGAATGGTAGTTTTATCACTCCAACGTGAATGATCTCTGTGCTAAGCCACCTTCCTGAAATTGAAACTGTTAGGTCTACTCTGTGTGTGTGTGTGTGTGTGTGTGTGTGTGTAGATGCCTGTATCAGGAAGTAGGGTTAGACAAGAAACATTCTGAGGGCCCTCTTCATCTCTCAGATGTGGTGAATAACCATACCTCACCCCACCTACACAACTGTTCCTTGGGCAGATTCTAAACACCTCCCCCCACACACAATGTCATGCACAGACATTTTGTCTGAAGATAAGATGGGAAGGGTGCAGCTCTGTCCTGGGTCTATCATCTTTCAGAGAATAAACACTCTGGCATTGCTTCTCCTCCCCTCATTTGCTTTCCCTGAAATTCAATCCCCCTGGTGAACAACGAGCAAGCTTCTCAGCATCAGGCACTTCTGGAAGCAGAAGAAAACTATGAGTACTGCCTGTGCTTTTTGCAGTTGATGAAAACAGACCTGGAACCAGAAGTGTCTTTGGGGGATTAATGATCCATTTTCTTTCTACCACACATTTTTGCTTGAGTTAATTCATCTGTTAGCCTCAAGCAGAGAACAGTATTAAGGTCAATGTTGAGAACAGTGTTAAAGAGAGTGTCTTGGGTACTGGAAAAAGCACAGTTCTAGGAGTCAAAACCGAGGTTTGAATTCTTACCCCTTGCCTGCCTTCTTCCTCCTCATTTAACAGTTGTATGGCTCTGTGCCAGTTGCAGGCTCTTTGGGCCTGCTTTCCATCTGCAATATGAAGGTAATAATATTTACACTTCCTTCCTCAAATAGTTGCTGTGAGAAAAGGTCTGTGTCAAAAATAGTATTACCAGAATCTGAGTTAATTTTATTAGAGATAAGGTCTGCGCACTGCTCACTTCCTCCCTGGGTTTCTGTGCTATTGAAAGAGCTCAGGTTCAGGATTAAATAAGAAGGCAGTGTGGTGTAATGGGAAGAGAACTGGATTTGGAGTCAAAGGACCTGGATTTGAATCATGACTCTGCTGCTTGTTGCCTTTGTGACCTTGGACAAGTCCTTCGTTCTTGGGAGGGTTTTGGTTCCTTCCATTATCTGTTAAATAAACGGGTTACACTAGATCTTAGGATCACAGAGGCGGAAGGAATCATTGAAGAAATCTAGAGAAGCTGCTAGGTGGCATGATGTTTAGAACCAGGACCTGGAGTGTGGAAGACCCAAGTTTAAATCCAGCCTCAGACACTTAACTAGCTGTGTGACTCAGGGCAAGTCACTTAACCCTGTTTGCCTCATTTATAAGATGAGCTAGAGAAGGAAATGGCAAACCATTCCAGTATCTTTGCCAAGAAACCCCCAAATGGAGTCCTCAAAGAGTTGGACACAACTGAAAAAACCGAATAATAACAACAAATATAATGCTTTAAGGTTTGTAATGAACTCGACAAATATTATCTCAATTGATCCTCACAACAATCCTGGGGTGGGTAGGTTATGCCCATTTCACAGATTTTCACAGGAAACTGAAGGGACTTGCCCAGTGCTATCCACTGCCTATAAGCCTATTAAATAATAAACTTGTTGAATATGACGTAGTCATGACTTACTCTCACCATCTTATTCACCATCCTCTGAGAGGAAGCATGGTAAAATGGAAAGAATACCAAACTTACAAATCAAGTGAGACCTGATTATTAATCCTCCCTTTGATCCTTCCTACCTCATTTCTGAACCTCTATTTCCTCATCTGTTACAGCAGGATAATAATACCTGTCAGACCTACTTCACAGGCTGTGGTTAGGGTCAAATGACATAATGCATGCAAAGCATTTGGAAAACCTGAAAGTTCAATGTCACATGACTCAGCTCAAGTGCCACCTTCAAAACTGGCCTTTTGTGACTCCACTCCACCCCCAGCTGCTACTGCCTTCTCCCCAAATTACCTTGGGTCATATACATCGATATATATGTACATATATGTACATGTTGTATTCCTGTCCCCTTCACAATGACTATAAATTCTTTGAGAGTTTATATTCTCAAGAGATTGTAGAGTTTATATAGTTTATATAATAGTCCACAAACTATTTCATATGTTGCCTTTGTATCCTCAGTGCCTAGAAGAATGCTTAGCATATAATAGGTGATTAACGTGTTAATTGATTGATTCTCTGGACCCACTGGAGTGTCTCAATGTTCTTTGTAAAATGGGCTGCTCCACACCAAATGCAATATTGCAGATGTAATGTGACCAGGGCAGAGTGCAATAGTATTATTGACTCTCTTTTATGAGATAACGGGACTTCTATTAAAGTAGCCTAAAATGACATTTGATTTTTTGTCTGCCACATAATGACTCATAGGATTTTCCTTACGCACAAATCTAATGACGTCACTCCCCTTCAGTATCTATAACCTAGCAATCCCACTATCAGGCATACTCCTCAAGGAAGTCAAAGACAGAAACAAAATTCCAACATACAGTAAAATATCCATAGCACAGTTCTTTGTGAAATAAAATGGGAACTCATCCATAGGTGAATGTCTCAAAAACCTATGGTATACAAATGCAATTGAATATTATTGTGCTGTAAAAAAAGATGAATAATGAGGAATTTTTAAAAGCATGGAATATTTGTATTACAAGTTTTATATTACAAAAATATTTGATTACAAAGGAAATAAGCTGAATCATATATATGCATACATATGTAGGTAATGACTCCAAAGTAAATGAAAAGATAACTAAAAGGAAGCTAAACTCTAAGCAAATAAAAAACCGGCAATAAGGCTGTGGTGAGGAACCTGAGGCCTCGAGCCATATGTAGCTTCTAAGTCCTTCGGTGCAGCCTTTTGACTGAGTCCACGTTTTACAGTTTTTTTAAGAAGATTTGTTCTGTGAAGTTTGGATTCAGTCAAAGGGCCACACTTGAGCACCTAGAGGGCCCTGTGTGACCTTGAGGCCTCAGGTTATAGAATAGAATAGAATATAGAAAATGACACACAGCTCCAGTGAGAGGACCACTATGTTCCAGGGTTTTCCCTCTTCCACCCCCTCAGCTGCCATCATGGATTCTGCAAAGGCAGCAAAGCCAGGACTTGCCTCTCCTTACAGTTTCCTGGTGGCCCCTGGTTGTCTTACACGGCTTCTCGGGCCCCTCCAACTTGATGGCTGTGTAGACCACAAGAGTCACAATACCCTGCCCTGCTGTCCAGACACGGTTCTATATGCAGTTGAGGGGGACCAGGCCTACCCAAGCTAAGTGCCACTGTATCCTTGCTGAATATCCTCGCCATGTTAAGGCTAAATAAATCTTAGCCCTGTTCAGTGACGTCCAAATGCCTCATTTTATCTCAACTCAAACCTTAAATAACAGGGTGCCAGTGTCAGGCCCACCCCTAATACCTCCCTTCTAGTTGCAGAAAGTAAAAGAGTAAAAAAAGCAGAAAGTAAAAAAAGCAAAAGCTCTGGTAAAGAGTTGTCAAATTGTCATTGTATTGGTTGTTTTTCTTTTCCTTTTTCCTAAGGAAGGTTTAATCGAGGAGTTGGGAGGGGTTCCCCTCCCCCTTTCTAGAAATGAACATGATGTAAATACAGAAAGCGTCAATTAAAAAAAATTAACCCTTCAGTACATCGTGACTTACTGAATAAAGTCTGAGATCTCAACCTTTGAAATTTCCTTCTCTGATCTCAATCTCTGACTTTCCAGATGACTTCCGAGAGGCAACACTGTGCAGTGAAAAGATCGTTGCTGTTGTTCAAAAGAACACTGGCTGTGGAGGTGGAGGACCTGGTTTGAATTCTACTTCTAATGCTTATTTGGGGCCACTCCATGGTGAAGTGGATAGAGCACCAGGCTTGGAGTCAGGAAGACTCAGCTTCCCGAGTCCAAATCTGGCCTCAGACACTTACTAGCTGGGTGATCCTAGACAAGTCACTTAATCCTGTTTGCTTCAGTTTCCTCAACTGTAAATGAGCTGGAGAAGGAAATGGCAAGCCATTCCAGGATCTTTGCCAAGAAAACTCTAAATGTCATGAAGAGGCAGACACTACTGAAATGACTGAGTAAAAAAAAAAATGCTGATTACTTCTGACCTTCGGAATCTTGCTTCCAAATTCTTCAGCCTCAATTCCTCATCTATAAAATGAGGACACTGGATTAAAGAGCCTTCTACCTCACCTCTAAATCTGTGACTCTCTTGCCTCCTTCCTCTAAAACCTCCTCTTCATCCTTCCCTTAATCTGCACACTTTTCATCCATCCCTGCTTTGGCTTCATTTCCATTTACTATCCTTTCTAGTCTCTAATTTACTGTTAACAAGTTCAACAGGGCACCAACCTCTACCATCAAATCCCTTCTCCCTTCATCTTCAGCTACGTGAACACTGCTAACATTCAACTCTACCATCCACCTTCTCTATTTAACTCCCTAGCTGCTGAGCACAACCATAGGAAATTATGAAACTATGTATAGTGTTTTCATTACAAATCCATGTGATCTAATTTCAACCTGGCCCTCATTACTGCATAGCAATATTGTATTCATCTGATTGACTTTCTATTATATTCCTCCCAGTAGCTACTTCAAATCTCCCCCTCTCAAGCCCCCAACTATACCATCAACTCCCTTCTTTCAGCATATAATAGTTTTCTACTGTACTGAGAAGGTTAAGGCTATCTATCACGAATTTTCTTAACTTTCCTCCTTCATAATTCTAAACCTTTCTTGATCTTTCCCCATCATTTCTTCCATTGTCAGAGGATGAGAGTGTCCGTCTCCTTGCCTAGCATAACCTTTCTACTTCTTTCCTCAATCCCTATACTCACTGATTTTTCAACCCCATACAATCTGGCTTCAGACACCAGCAGTCTTTGGGAACTGCTTTCTCAAAGGTCACCAACTGCTGCATTTGAAGGCTTCTCCCCCACCCCCAGCTATCCTTCCTGAAGTTTCTGTGGCACTGGCTACTGTTGACCATCTTTCTCTTTTCGGACGGTGTCTCTTCCCAGGACTTCTGTACATTTCTCTCCTCTGATTCTCTCTATTTGACTTTTCCTCTTACCTGGATTATTGCCATAGCCTTCCAATTGGTCACACGGCTTCCGTCTCTTCCTTTGGCAGCTCATCCTTGACACCACTGCCAAAACAATCATCCCAAGACATGTCTATGACACTGTCCTAGTTAACAACATTCAGCGGCTTCCTCTTGCCTATAGGAGAAAAAAAGAAACATCTAGTGTTTTACCCCCTATCCCAGTTTCTATAGAAAGGGCACACATTTTTGCCCCCACAGGAAGGCTACCCCCTCTGTCTTTGAGGCACAAAACCTCAAAAGTCTCTACATGGACTCTTAGGAAATGTTAGTTCTGTTCCTTTCTCCTTGATTTTGGGAGAAGCAGTCTGCAGTAATTTGCATAATTCAGTCCACCTGCCACAGAGGAAGATGGAAGACTAAAGGCAGGTTGAGTGCATGGGCCCACTCTGAACCCTCAAATATAGAGGGACATAAGTGTGAGGCAGTCTGGTTAGGCACAATGGGAAAACAGGTGCAAGTAGGACTGACTCACCATACCTTAATAATGCCAAGGGGAAAACAAACTCTTTGAACAGTCAAAGAAGAAGGTATTAAGACTGCTAGTCAGAAGAGGCCTTTTGTGTGGAAGGTGGGTATAAAAGAAGATGAAATTTCAAACTGCTAGAAGCACCTTGGCTTAGGCGGATGACAAAATTGAAACTGCTGGCTAAGGCACCAGAGTAATTTTTTCCATAAACTTAAAAAAAATCAACACTGCTGGAGTAGAGCTTACCTTTGAGGAATGGTGAGGGAGAGCTGAGCAAAAGCATGAGCAAAAAGAACAAACTCACCTGGAAGGGCACCTTAGGACAGCAGCCATCCTGAGGAACAGGTGTCACAACACTTTATAAGATCTAAGAAGAACCATTAGGAATTATTTTGCCCAACTATATGCCAACAAATTTGACAATCTTAGTGAAATGGATACATATTTACGAAAATATAAATTGCCCAGATTAACCGAAGAGGAAGTAAAATACTTAAATAACCCCATCTCAGAAAAAGAAATTGAACAAGCCATTGATGAACTCCCTAAGAAAAAATCTCCAGGGCCAGATGGATTTACATGCGAATTCTATCAAACATTTAAAGAGCAATTAATTCCAATACTATATAGATTATTTGGAAAAACAGGTGAAGAAGGAGTCTTACCAAATTCTTTTTATGATACAAATATGGTGTTGATACCTAAACCAGGAAGAGTCAAAATAGAGAAAGAAAATTATAGACCAATTTCTCTAATGAATATAGATGCAAAAATTTTAAACAAAATACTAGCAAATAGATTGCAGAAACTTATCACAAGAAGAGAATACACTATGACCAGGTAGGATTTATACCAGGAATGCAGGGTTGGTTCAGTATTAGGAAAACTATCAGCATCATTGAGCATATCAACACCAAAACCAACAGAAACCACATGATCATCTCAATAGATGCAGAAAAAGCTTTTGATAAAATACAACACCCATTCCTTTTAAAAACACTAGAAAGCAGGTATAAATGGAGTCTTCCTTAAAATAATAAATAGCATATATCTAAAACCTTCAGCAAGCATTATATGTAATGGGGACAGGCTAGAAGCATTTCCAGTAAGATTGGGGGTGAAACAAGGATGTCCATTATCACCACTGTTATTCAATATTGTACTGGAAACGTTAGCTTTAGCAATGAGAAGAAAAAGAAATCAAAGGCATTAGAATAGGCAAAGAAGAAACAAAGCTATCACTCTTTGCAGATGACATGATGATATACTTAGAATCCTAGAGAATCAAGTAAAAAACTACTTGAAATAATAAACAACTTTAGCAAAGTTGCAGGCTATAAAATAAACCCACATAAATCATCAGCATTTCTATATATTACCAACAAAGCCCAACAGCAAGAGATAGAAAGAGAAATCCCATTTAAACTTACTGTAGACATTATAAAATATTTAGGAGTCTACCTCCGAAACAAACCCAGGAACTCTATGAACACAATTACAAAACACTTTTCACACAAATAAAATCAGATCTAAATAATTGGAAAACATCAGCTGCTCATGGGGACGAGCTAATATAATAAAAAATGACAATCCTACCTAAGCTAATTTACTTATTCAGTGCCATACCAAACTAGCAAAAATTTATTTTATAGAGTTAGAAAAAATAATACAAGATTCATTTGAAAAACAAAAGGTCCAGAATATCAAAGGAACTAATGAAAAAATGCAAAGGGGTGGCCTAGCTCCAGATCTCAAATTGTATTATAAAGCAGCAATCATCAACTGCTTGGCACTGGCTAAGAATAGGGAGGTGGATCAGTGGAATAGGTTAAATATGCAAGACACAGTAGTCAATGACTATAGTAATCTATTATTTGATAAACCCAAAGACCCCAGCTTCTGGGATAAGAACCCACTCTTTGAAAAAAACTGCTGGGAAAACTGGAAAAGAGTATGGCAGAAACTAGGCATAGACCCAAATCTCACACCATATACCAAAATAAAGTCAAAATGGGTTCATGACTTAGATATAAAGGCTGATACCATAAGTAAACTGGGAGAACAAGGAATAGTTTACCTATCAGATCTATGGAGAACAGAAGAATTCATGACCAAACAGGAGATAGAGAACATTATGAAAAGCAAAATGGATAATTTTGATTACATTAAATTGAAAAGTTTTTGCACAAACAAAGCCAATGCAACTAAGATTAGAAGGAAGGTAGAAAATTGGGAAAGAATTTTTACAACCAGTCTCTCTGATAAAGGCCTCATTTCTAAAATATATAGAGAATTAAGACAAATTTATAAGAACACAAGCCATTCCCCAATTGATAAATGGTCAAAGGATATGAACAGACAGTTCTCAGATGAAGAAATTAAAGCCATCTATAGTCATATGAAAAAATGCTCTAAATCATTATTGATTAGAGAAATGCAAATCAAAACAACTCTGAGGTACCACATCACACCTATCAGATTGGCCAACATGACAAAACAGGAAAATGATAAATGTTGGAGAAGATGTGGGAAAATTGGAACACTAATACATTGTTGGTGGAGTTGTGAAATGATCCAAACATTTTGGAGAACAATTTGGAACTATGCCCAAAGGGCTACAAAAATGTGCATACCCTTTGATCCAGCAATAGCACTCCTAGGGCTATATCCCAAAGAGATCAAACAAATGGGAAAAGGACCCACATGTACAAAAATATTCATAGCAGCTCTTTTTGTGGTGGCAAAGAATTGGAAATTGAGAGGATGCCCATCCATTGGAGAATGGCTGAGCAAGTTGTGGTATATGAATGTAATGGAATACTACTGTGCTATAAGAAATGGTGAACAGGCTGACTTCAGAAAAACCTGGAAAGACTTATATGGTCTGATGCTGAGTGAAGTGAGCAGAACCAAGAGGACTTTTGTACACAATAACAGTCACGTTATGCGATGACTAATATTGTTAAACTGAACCCTTCTCAGCATTACAAGGATCTAAGACATCTCCAGAGGCTTCGGGATGGAAAATGTTGTCCACATCCAAAGAAAGAACTATGGAAGTCGAATCACTATCACTTACTTTTACCTTTTGTTGAGTTTTGTTTCATCTTTCTGATGGTTCCTCCTATTGGTTTTAATTTTTACTTACAACTTCACTAATGTGAAAATATATTTAATAGGAATGTAAATGTAAAGCCTAAAAAAAAAAATCTAAGAAGAACCGTGGAGGACAGGTAGAGTAACTGGAGCTTTCAGCAAAAGAACAAAACGTGACTCAGACAAAGGGACTTAAAGGGAGAAATGATCTCAACCTCCTTTGCTAGGGCTAGGGCCAGGGGAATCTTGGAGCTAGCTTATTTTCCAGTGTATTTACATTTTGGGAATTGGCAAACAAAGGCTATAAGATCAGGGCTTAATTTATTGTTTTGTTGCTTGTCTAGACTGAAGAAAAGGATAGAGAAATATTAATAATGCAGGTTAAACTTAAAAGTGTGTCCTAGGTACATGGGGTTTTTTGTTTTTTTTTTTTTAGAAAGCCAGTTGTTAAACATTTACCAGCACACCAATGCCTAAGGAGGAGAGCAACATGACAAGCCATAGAGATTGTATGGATTTATGGAGATTGAAGGGGTCCTGTGACTCTCTGTGGGCTCAGGTACATGTTCTCTGCACATGTTTTACTATGTAAATGAAACTTTTCTACAGTTTGAAATCTTGTGAGCCTGAGTGCTTGTAAGGTGAGCTTTTAGCTGGCACTGGGGAAACACAGATGCTGAAGTTTCCATTTCTACCTAAATAGTGGCAACAGACCAGAGAAATGAAGGGTCTTTAGAGGTTCTTCTTATCAAATGGGAACAGTAGTGTGTTGATAAATGGTTAACAATTAGTTCTCTGGGGGTAAAAAGGTACTCCGATATACCTTTAAGCTTAATTTTCATTACTAACATTTTCTCCATCATCCTCTTAAGTCTAGACAATCAACAAAACAATAAATCACACTTTGATTTGCAGCTTTTCCAATTTCAAGGTATAAAAAATGACACTGAAAATTAAACAATCTGTTCACCAGCTGGTAGGAGCTGGCTCCAACATGCCTCTGGGTGGAAACCTCTGCCTTAAGGGTTACATTTCACAAAGCATTCCCCTTCATGCACTCCAGTCCCAGAAACATTGGACTATATGTGCACGAACTGTCTCTCCCAATATCAAATGAGCCTAGTTCATAGAAAGCACTGAACAGATGCTTACTGATTGACTTATTGATGGATACAAAATGTCTCCTGACCTTGACTAAACTTCTGTCTGAGGCAGACCTATATGGTGGGGGCAGGAGAACCAGGTCCTCTGGTATAAACTGATCAAGAAATGGGACGGGACAAGACAGAGGAAGCTGCAGTCGCTGTTCGTTGGGAATAAGGCGCAGCTCAGTGGGGTGACTGCAGGGCCCGAGTTTGGTTGCTAAAGGCTTCCTGGCAAGGTCATACCTCCCTCCTCCCTCCCTAGAACCTTGTTCCATCCCACAGAACCTCAGTTACGGGAGAGGTTTTCAGAGCTCAGCTCCTCCAACCCAAACACACATGAGAAAGCCTCGGGACAAGCTCCCCAACAAATGGTCATCCAGCCTTCTTTGCCAACCCCCTAGCTCGGGGACAGCCCCTTCTAGTTCTGGGCAGCTTAGACTGTTACGGAAGACTTCCTCGGCGTTGAGCGCAGATGTGGCCCTTAGCAACTTCCACTGGATGCTCTGATTCTGTGTGCTCTGGGACAGACTTAACACGCCTGATCCTCTTTCCGCGTGACACTACGGACGCTTGGAGACAGCTGTCAATGTCCGTCTCAAAGTCTTCTCCGGGCTGAACGTCCTCAGTTTCCTTGGAAGTTTCTGGGTAAAAACAGAACAAGGTTTCACCTTTCACCTCCCCCTTCCCCTCTTTCCTTTTCCTCCTCCTCCCTCCCTTCCTCCTCTTCCTCCTCCTTTTCTTCCCCTCTTCTTCTTCCTCGTTCCTTTCCTCTTTTCCTCCTCTCTCCCATTCCTCCTTCTTCCTCTTCTCCCACCTGCTCTTCTTCCCCTCTTCTCCTTCCTCCTCTTCTCCCTCCCCGCCTTCCTCTTCCTCTCCTCTATTCTCCCTCCTCCGTCCTCCTCCCTCTTGCTCCCAAGTACCTCCTGCAATGCAGGACTCAGTCGCCAGGAGGCGCAAGAGGAGGCAGCACTTGCGGGCACGGGAAGCCGAGACTGGGAGGGCGGGGGAGGCGGGGTCCTGTCAGCTGAGCGCTGCAGCACGTGATCCTGGCCGGCCGGCAGCCGGGGTCACGTGACGGGGCCGGAAGGGGCGCCGGGAATGGCTCTAAGGGAGCTCGGTGAGGCTGGAGCCCGAGCCGGAGTCTGGAGGCGGGAGAAGGTGAGTCGGGGTGGGATGGAACGCGCGTGCGCTGGGCTGGCATCCGTCCCGGGGTGATGGGGTCCAGGCCAAGGTCCCCAACCTGGTGCCAGTCCGTGGAGCGGAAACAAAGGTTGTTCCCGGGGCGGGGCTGGTGAAAGGAGGGAGGGAGGGAACTGGGTGTGTGTGGGTGTGTGTGTCCGTCTGTCTGTCTCTGTGGGTGTCTCCGTGTCCGTGTCTGTGTGAGGCTGTGTCCGCGCGACACTGTGTCCGTGGTTGTGTGACCGTCTGTGTCCCAGGGTGCACGGACGCGGCTCACACTGAGGCCGTCTTGTCTGTGTTTTTGTTTTTGTCGCATGCGCGTGTCGATGGGTCTCTCGGTATGAGAGACTGGGTTTATAGAGTGACTGTTTTGTGTGTGCATTTGAGGGGGACGGAGTTGAAGCAGCGTGTCTGGAGAGGACTAATTCTGTTGAGATACTGGGAGGCTGGAGAGGAGTTAGTGCTGTCGTAGGAGAGGGCAGAGGAAGAAGGAAGGAAAACCCTAAAGGAAGAGGTCCCTTAGCTCTGTCTCTTGCTTAAGCTGCATTCGTGCTGGCTTCTTGGAGCATTTCTTCATCACTGCCACACCCGTCAGCCCCGTAACCAGAAGATGTTTGTGTAAATCGTAAAACATGAGGGTCCTTGGGACCTTAGAACAGTTTCAGACTAGCCCTCTCATTTTAAAGAGGAAACTGAGGGGCAGTAACTTGTTTGGGATTATACAGTGAGTCAGTGGTAGAACTGACATTTGAACCCGGTCACTGGGATCTGTTTCCATTATACTGGGCTTCTTTCTGCCCAAGAACTTGTCATCGGATGTGGCTTGAAGGAAACATTGCTTTCTTTCCCCATCTCTTCTCTCCAGACTTTACGCAGTCGTTCTTGCAGTGTTTGAATTGTAACCATTCGGGATTGTGGTTTCCTTACTATCATGAAGAGAAGCAACTACTGTGATTTCCTGTAGACTCAGCACTCTGAAGATTTCATTTGCTCACTCTCTCCTGATATTTTTTCTGATAAGCCTTATTATAATGGGGGTCTCATTATGTTTTTCAGTTGAAGGTTGAACATCAGAAAGGGCGGAGGAGAAATTTCGTTTTGAGAATAACTTCAATATTGACAGAAAGTTTCACCAAGTATTTATTCAGTGACTACCACGTTGGAGGCTTAGGGAATACAATCACAAAGATGCAATGGCTCCTCTCCTCAGGGAGCAGACTCTTCTTGGCTGTTACCTCTTAGGGGAAGCATATCTCCCTAGTTGTTAGTGTTTGTTCCCTCTTCAAATGACCTTGCATTTACTTTTTTGTTTACAAGTTGTAGCTCTTTGTAAAATGTGTACTCCTTAAAGGCAGTGAATGACTTTTTTCCTTTTTAAAATTTTGATTCTACTTTGGCTTTTACAAAATTAATGCTTGTTGAATTGAAATGAGCTCTCAATTAGGGGAAATCACCAAAGACTTCCTGAAGGAGGTAGCATTTGATTTGAGCCTTGAAGAAAAAATAAGGATTCACTATGTCAGAGTTGCAAGATGTGTGCATTCACAACCAGAGACACAGCTCAAACAAATGCAAGGGATCTGGAGGTAGAATGTATAGTTCATGGACCCCCCCCCCCCATCCAACTTGGTAGCTACATGAAGTGTGTGAAACGGGGTAATGTTAAATAAGTCTGGAAAGGTATTCAAATAATTTTAAAATATGGATGGTTTATAGTTCTAGGACTAACTTTCTCATTCTCTTCAGTAATCCAATTTTTGGTGAAGGTGGTAAAAGCTGTAGCTATTTTTACATGCCCTTACATTTTAAGTTGATAGGGTTGCCTTGAAATCTAGTAATGAAAAGATCATGGTAGCTTGATGTAGAAAGAGTGCAGAACTAGAAGTCAGCCAGAAGACCTGGATTTATCTTCCAGTCCTGGTCTGTTTTATTTATCCAAACAAAGAGCTATCACTGCTATACTATTAATCATGCTAAAGCAGGACTTGACAGTAGATTTTTAGCCAGTTGTCCTAGAATTGGCTCTTTTACCTGGGGTTATAGAGTTGTAAAGGGAAACAGACCTTAGAGATGATCAGTTTGAACCATCTCCTTTTACAGTTGAGTAAACAGGTTCAGAGATGTTAAATGTCCAAGATTATGTACCGAATAAGTGTCAGAAACAAAAGCACATTTGGGGATCTCCAGACTTTGAATACAGTACTTTTCCTAAGTACTCTTTTCTCTGTATTATTTTCAGTCATCATTTTAACTAGATAAACTAGATATTATTTTGTATGGCTCTTAAATATAATCAGGATTCTATTTAGGAATTTTATAAGAGCCAGTTAGCAATGATTAGTAAGCTTTTTTTTTTTGTATTCAGAAGCTGCTTTGCTTTGCTCTAAAGCCATGAACTTTAGGAAAAACTTTGGGTACAGAAGCTTGTACCTATGAGGGAGGGGTTGGTAGTAGTAAACTGGATTTCCGTGTTTGGTGATGGGTATAATAGAGGCTGTCCTAACAATAATATCAAGTATCCCTCCATTTAGCAGTCATTTTTCAGTCATTTTCATTTTCCTTCTCCTTCTGCCCTGGTTTTCCCTTTGAGCTATACAACTCTTCTTTGGGCTGATCCCTTGTAGCAGCTGTGGTTAGAAGATGGGATATTTAAGGTCCAGCTTCAGCTTTGTGAGGACTTTATTATTTTTTGCCCCATCCTTAGACAACCTGTGCCTGGCTAACCTTCTCCCCCATTCTCTCCCCCCCTCCCCCCGCCTATTATAATGGCCCCACTATTATTAAGGGACCAGTTATTTATATTTAGTTAGCACATCCTGTTAATTCTACCTTGATATGATCTCATTGCGCCCTCCTTCTGTTGCAACCCTATCACTCCAATATAAGCTTGTACTTCTGAAATAGCCTCTTAATATTTCTCTCTACTTTTAGGTCTTTCCCATCCCAATCTGTCCTACACTGGATTGATCATCCTTAGATATAGCTCTAAATATGTCACTTCTCTGTTCAAAATTATTCAGTGACCCTCTTTTGCCTACCAAATAAACCCATACTTCTTATCTTGGCATTAAAGACCTTTAAGTAATCTGGCTGTCGGTCAGTAACCATTTATTTGTTGTTGTTTTTTCCAGGCAGTTGGGGTTAAGTGACTTTCCCAGGGTCACACAGCTAGTAAGTGTCAAGTATTTGGTCTAAGGTTGGATTTGAACTCAAGTCCTCCTGACTCCAGGGCCGGTGCTCTATGCACTGTGCCACCTAGCTGCCCCTTTAATAACCATTTATTAAGAGCCTTTTGTGTTCCAGGCACTGTGCTAAGCCCTGGGAACTACAAAGAAAGGTAAAAGACAATTCCTGCTGTCAGGAGCTCGCGGTCTGATGGGGGAGACAACATGTAAACAACTATATACCAGACAAATTAAAAATAATCAGCAGAGGGAGGGTTTTAGAAGTAAAGGGAATTAAGAAAGGCTTCTTGTAGAAGGTGGAATTTTAGCTGCAACTTGAAGGAAGCTAGGGGAAATGAGATGGGAGAACATCCCATCCATGGGGTACAGCCAGTGAAAATACCCAGAGTCAGGAGATGGAGTGTCTTGTTCAGGGAATAGCAAGAAGGCCGGTATCACTTGTCTGTAGAGTATGTGGAGGGGTCAGGGGTGAATAAGTTATAAGAAGACTGGAAAGGTAGTAGGTTATAAAGGGCTGTGAATGCCAGAGGTTTTTATATTTGATTCTGAATGTGATAAGGAGCCACTGAGTAAGGGAGTGACCTGGTCAGACCTGCCCTTTAGGAAGATCACTTTAACGGCTTAGATGAGGATAGCCTGGAGTGGGGAGAGTCTTATGGTGGGGAGACCAACTAGCATACTGTTGTAAAAATCCAGGTGTGAGGTAATAAGGGCCTGTGCTAGGGTGGTGGCAGGGTGGCGGAAAGAAGGGAGAAATGTTTCAAAGGCAAAATTTGACAGACCTTGGTAACAGATTAGATATGGGGGTGGGGCAGTGAGAGAGAACAAGAAATTGAGGATGACGCTTAGGTTCTGAGCCTGGGTGGCTGGGAGGATGGTAGTCCCTTTGATAGTACTAGGAAAGTTTGGGAGGAGGTGGGGAAAGATAATGAATTCAGTTTTGGACATGTTGAGTTTAAGGTGCCTATAGGATATCCATCTTGAGATATACAATAGACAGTTGGAGGTCAGCAGAGAGGTTAGGGTCACATAAGTAGATTTGAGAATTGTCAGGACAGAGACAATAATTAAATCCATGGGAGTTGATGAAATCACCAGATTAAATATTACAGAGAGAGAAGAGAGCCCAGAACAGAGCTCTTTGAGACACCCATGGTTAGCAGGTGTGACCCTGGATGAATACCTAGCAAAGGAATCTGAGAAGGAACACTCAGATAGGTAGGGGGAGAAGCAGGAGAGAGTAATGTGACCAAAACCAAGAAAGTATCAAGAAGGAGAGGGTGATTAACAGTGTCAAAGGTTATAGAAAAGTCATGAGGGGTGAATATTGGGAGAAAACTATTAGATTTGGCAATTAAGAGATTAATATTAACTTTAAAAAGAACAGTTTTGATTAAATGATGGAGTTGGAATGCAAACTATAAAGACTTAGACAGGAGTGAGAGGAAAGAAAGTGGAGACACCTATTGTAGACAGCTTTCTCAAGATGTTTAGCCACAGAGAGCACAAGAGATATGGGGCAGTCACTGGTGGAAATGGATAGATCAAGTGAAGGTCTTTTGAGGATGGAGGACACATGGGCATGTTTGTAGGTGCTAGGGAAGCAGCCAACATTGATAGAGAAATATTGAAGATAAATGAGAGAATGCAAATGATGGATGAGGATAATCTGCTGGTGAAGATAGAATGGAATGGAATCACCTGGGCATAAGGAAGGGTTTGCCTTGGGCAAGGAAAAGGGCTGTTTCTTTGTGTGACAGTGGCAGGAGGCATCTAAGAATGTGAGATGAGGGG